CGACAGATCCAGCTGGTCCCACAGCTCCGGCACCGGTAACGACACCAGCAGGTCCTACGGATCCATGGTAGTTATGGTTAAGGGCGGCACCAGCTCCTGCTCCCCATCCTCCATGACCACCCCATGCTCCAGCACCTCCCCATGCTCCATGACCTCCCCATGCTCCAGAACCTCCCCACGCTCCAACACCTCCATGGCCCCAGCCGGAAGGCTTAGCACTGGCGATAACTGCCAAACAGGCGAAAAGAGCGATAGTCTGCAATAATAAATGCACACAAATTTTAATATACATTACTAATTTATCCATAATTATGGGAAATATCAAAGACAGATCAATAATGAATAAAAATTGAGAAAAATTAAAATGTAATAATTATTAAAACCACTTTATTCATTGCGTTGAATAAAGTTGTATCTATTTTATTACTTTGCGAACTTACCAATCCGTTCATGATTGTTTCTTAAGAGATCCTGTCTTGTTTGCAAGTCTCTCTAATCTGACTTCGGAAGGATAATGCACGTACATTTATATTGAAATAGCGACCTTCGTTCGTACTAGAATTGGAAAAGTTTTTGGATTTAAATCGCAAGGAGGTGAACGTATTCATTTTATAAATATACTACTCATTCATTAATTGCCGCATTTACATGGAACTATTCTTACACTTACATAATAAATATAATATATACGAAATTAAAAGGAGTAAAAACCAAAATTAATATGTAAATAGAAAAAGATAGTAAAACACAGTTTATTTTACAGTGTTTGATGATCCGCTACTCCTTGCTGTCTGTTTGCCTCATTGTGTTCAAGCTTTTTGCTTTCTGGCCGCACACCTTACACTGACTTATGCAATATTTCTATTAAATAATAAGCATTAGATATCTAAACAAATATATGTATTTGATAATTATTAAATATATACACAACTTTAAAAATGTCAACTATTTGTAAAAATGTACTCCTTGTTTAAGTTAATGTTAAAACCAGTATAAATAATTGGAATTAATTTATTAAAATAATATATCTAAAAATTTAAATAAACTGTTATGGCGCTAATTTATTTATATACACTTATGCATATTTAATAGCTATGTATTATATTCAGTTCAAACCCTGGGAATGAATTATCCGCGTTAGTAAACTATTTGAATAGTATTATATAAACACACATAAAAAATATATTTATTGTGAGGGTTACGTGCATTTTTTTTAATTAAACAAAAAAAATGACTAATTGCACTTGTATCTAGAAAATATATCAATAGAAATAACAATAATATTTATTGCAACAAACATAATATAAACTCAACACAATAACAAAAATAAAACTAAATTTAATTGTTGCAAATGGATATAAATTATATTATATCGAAATAATATGATCTTTCTGTTGTTCGCAGACATTTTCTACTGGTCCCCACAACATGAAAATTTGATTCCACGTATAATTACTTAAACAATAAATTTAAATGAAAACGTACTGATTTTCGATTGGTTTAGATCTGAATAAAACAATCATTTTTAAGATTTTATCTATTAACATGTTGTTCCATCTGCATTAAATCAGTAATACTAACAGACATCTAAATTTATGGCATATCTGTATAATTAGGTTATTGAAGGCCACAATGGAAATTATTTAAAGAATAATTACTAATTATATTGATATATTTTATGTTACAGCTAAATTCTGGTATATACACTATGATTGATTAATATTATTTTCTCAAATTAATCTTTAATCTTTTAATTAATCTTTATTCAAATAATGAAATTAAATTAACAATGTTATTGTCTTAAGTATAAAGAGCTGTGTTAATCCAAGTAATATTATTGTGGAATTTCTTACAAATAGGGAAATATATTAAGGAATATTAAAAAATGTAATTATTTTTAGTTTGCATTTTATTAAAAACAGATTGACATATATACAAAGTTGGTGGTGTTTTTTTTGTATTAAGTGAATACATCATAGATGATCTTTATAAAAAATGCTATTCATTTATAAAGTTATAAAATTTGGTGTACTTAAAATTAAATTCTTGAGGGTTTTAACATATTTCGTAGACTAAATTTGTCGTTTACCAATGTCCATGGCCACCCCATCCGTATCCATGACCATGATCATGTCCGGCCCACGGACCGTAGCTACCATCATCATGATCTCCTAAACCGCCGTCCCAATCTCCATGACCACCGTCCCATGCACCGGCGCCGTCCCAAGCACCAGCACCGTCCCAAGCACCAGCACCGTCCCAGGCGCCGTCCCATCCACCTCCGACTCCGTTGGGTCCGGTTGGGCCGACAGCTCCATGTCCATTGACAACTCCAGCAGGTCCTACAGCGCCATGTCCATCAACAGATCCAGCTGGTCCCACAGCTCCGGCACCGGTAACGACACCAGCAGGTCCAACGGATCCATGGTAGTTATGGCTGAGGGCAGCACCAGCTCCTGCTCCCCATCCACCATAACCTCCCCATGCTCCATGACCTCCCCACGCTCCATCACCTCCCCATCCTCCATGGCCCCAGCCGGAAGGCTTAGCACTGGCGATAACTGCCAAGCAGGCGAAAACAGCGATAGTCTGCAAAAACAAAGACACGAAAATTATAATACACATTATCTATTAATTCGAAATTATAGAATTTCGATTCAATAATGAATAGCAATCGACACAAATGAAAAAAAATGTAATTATTAAAATCTTAATTAATTGCGGGCAATTACTTTGAATGTCATATTGCTTTGCGGACTTACCAATCCGTTCATGATTGTTTCTTAAGAGATCTTGTCTTGTTTGCAAGTCTCTGTAATCTGACTTCGGAATGATAATGCACGTATATTTATATTGAAATAGCGACCTTCGTTCGTACTACACTTGGAAAAGTTTTTGGATTATAAATTAAACATATTCATTTTATAAATATACTACTGATTTAATAACTGTCGCATTTACATAGAACTATTCTTAAACGGCTTTCCTACCGAACACCTTCAACCTTCTGCCACTTTCTTCTGCAATTTCATCAATTTATAAAAACTCTATAGACTTGTGCTATATTTTTGTTAAATAATAAACATTAGATATCCAATAACATAAAAACTAATTTCATTAATTTCTTAAATAATGTATTTAAAAACTAAATTAACTGTTATGGCGCTAATTTATTTATATCCTATTATGCATACTTAATAATTATGTATTATATACAGTTCAAAGCCTGGGAACCAATTATCCTTGTTTGAATATTATTATATAAAATACGTATAAAAAAAATACAATTATCATTTCCAAAATAATAATAGTTTTTTTAATTAAACAAAAAAATGACGAATTGCACTTATCTTTAGAAAATATATAAATTCCAGGTCAGAAAAAACTAATGGCTCTTTTGGCCAGATTTTATTTAGAATTATTATCTTATGTATTATCGCAATAAATATTATAATTAAATTTTTATCAATATACTATAATTATTATATTTAATAGTTAATTATTTACATTTTTTATATAAATGCTAATTTCAGCCTATCGAATAAAATCTTTTCAAAACATTATTTTTGTATTTATTATCAACTATATATAGAACATTTGTTTCATAAGTTAAATACCATTTCTTTATTGCTTTATGTACTTTCATCAAGTATAATATTACTAATAAAGTCGTTGAAGTTCATAATAAAATATATTTATCTAACTATTTAAATAAATTGATTTGATGTATGTTACGACCAAATTCTTGTATTATTGATTAATTAATATTATTTTTTCTAGTACCAGTGACATAAAAAATATACATTTTCTTACAATAACAGTAATCAAACAACAAGGAGTAACTGCTACAAATGGCTATTGACCATATATTTTTCTGCTTTAATTAATATTATTTTATCAAATTTATGATTTAGGTATAAAAAATGTTAATTAAAGGAATGTGAATGTGGTGTTTTTAAAAAATAGGAAATGTATTAAGGAATAATCAGTAAAATTGTAATTATATTTTCGTTTGCATTTATTGAACACAGATTGATATATATACAAAGGTGTTGTTTTTCGTATTAAGTGAACACATCGTGGATGATCTTTATAAATAATGCTATTCAATATGGCAGATCATTTATAAAGTTGTCTTATTGGTGTAGTTTAAATTAAGTTGTCGAGAGTATTTACATATTTCGTAGGCTAAAATTGTCGTTTACCAATGTCCATGACCACCCCATCCGTATCCATGGCCATGACCACCATGTCCAGCCCACAGACCGTAGCTGCCATCATCATGATCTCCGTAGCCGCCGTCCCAATCTCCATGACCACCGTCCCATGCACCAGCACCGTCCCAGGCGCCGTCCCATCCACCTCCGACTCCGTTAGGTCCGGTTGGGCCGACAGCTCCATGTCCATTGACGACTCCAGCAGGTCCTACAGCACCATGTCCATCGACAGATCCAGCTGGTCCCACAGCTCCGGCACCGGTAACAACACCAGCAGGTCCAACGGATCCATGGTAGTTATGGTTGATGGCGGCACCAGCACCTGCTCCCCATCCACCATGACCACCCCACGCTCCATGTCCTCCCCACGCTCCATCACCACCCCATCCTCCATGGCCCCAGCCGGAAGGCTTAGCACTGGCGATAACTGCCAAGCAGGCGAAAACAGCGATAGTCTGCAAAGATAAAAGCATACATATTTTAACGCACATTACTAATTAATCCGTAATTATAGAATTTCTCAAAGGCGGCTCAATAATGAATAACAATCGAGGCAAATGAAAAAGTAATAATTATTCAAATCACTTTATTCATTGCGGACAATTACTTTGAATGACATATCACTTACCAATCCGTTCATGATTGTTTCTTAAGAGATCCTGTCTTGTTGGCAAGTCTCTATAATCTGACTTTGGAACGATAATGCACGTATATTTATATTGAAATAACGACCTTCGTTCATACTACACTTACAAAAGTTTTTGGATTCAAATCGCAAGGAGGTTGTAACTGTAAAGTTCCATTCTTTTAATTTTGCACGTCATATTTGATTAATTGAGTTCATATGCAGAATATGTAATAAAACACAGAATTATTTATCATTTTTAAATAAAATATAATCAAAATATTCGTTATTCTTAAAACTTAGCACATCAAATGTTTATTGAATATAATAATTTCAAAACAAATTTAAGTTCCAAGGATTCTCTAATGTTTGTTTTTAGGTATTACATATACCTACAATTTCAATTAGACAGTATCTTTATTAGCCCACGTTATATTTGTTAGTCATAGGGGTGCTTACATTTAAAAAAATTTAATGTTGTTTGTCATTAAGTGATAATAAAAAACAATTACATTTTATGTAAACAAAAATTATCTTAATATTATGGTTTTAATATATTAATCAGTAGTAAAACATAAAGTTATGTATATTTATTCACTTTCTAATCAATTGACGCATTTATGCAATATTTATCAATAGTTATTTAATAAAACAATAATAAACATTTTTTATTAGATACGAGCATATATCCAAAGGGATATCGACAGGAGTCTCGACTATCCGCCTAATTTTTTTTAAGAATATTTATTTCAAGAATCATTCAATTATTTAAACATTGCATTTTGCCATTCTTATTTGGCAAAATTTATTGGCCAACTTTAGATCTTTCAGACCATTTAAAATTAAAAAAAATCAAATTTGGACTACTTCACCCAAATTTAAATCTTTTTATTTGAATAAAAATTGTAAAATTTAAATATCATTTCAAATTAATAACCATAACTATAATTATTGTGGGATCGATAAGTACTGAAAGCGTGGCAAAAATAAGGACAGGAGATTCATATCAACTATAATTATTTATTTATAGATGTTCATAATAGGGGTAATTTGGAGTCAAATTATGTCTGCCCAAATAACTATAATTTATTGTTTGCAGACTTTTACTCTCAAAATTATTTTTCATACACAAATTTTAAAGTATTTTAATTTATAGCAAATAAAATTGTATAATTAATTTATTACACAATTTACTAGAATCTATAAATTATCTTGAATTAATTAATTTTCTTAAGTATGTGCTATTGAAATAATTATTGTTAATTATTAAATAATAGTCAATAATTATTAGAAAAATTAATATATACATTGAATAAATCATATATTAATAACAATATGTATATTAAAATTTAGTAATAATCAAAATTTGTTGATATTTGATAAATACCAAAAAAAACATTAATTGAAATATATATTGTAAAGATTTTATATTTCCAACTTTTTTATCTATAATTATTGAATAAAGTGAAAGTAAATAATGTACATAAAAACCTCATCAAATAACATATACTTTTTTAATATATTTTTATATATGATTAACATTTGCTATTACTATTACATTTTGTTAGTTAAAAGTTTGTTCAAGTTATTATCTAACGCGTTAGTTAGTCATGAAACTAATTGGTATTAATTTGCGTTTTCAAATGGAGCGCAATGCATTTTATAATGTAATTATACCCTTCGGTAATGTTTATGAATATATTGCGGCCTGCTGATGCAGATATGTACAATTCTTTTTTATTTTTTATGTATTGTCGAGAAAACATGCAAACAATATAATTTTATCATTCCGAAAACTTTTATATTGGTGAAAAGGTAACGCGGAGCACGAAGGTCATACACTTCCCGTTACATATATATAGGTGATCTAGGAATTGGAGTAGGCATATTGCAATCTTCTGCAGTACGGACAAGTCCAATAATCATGAACGCTTTGGTAAGAACGTGAAAGTAAACGGTTGATTATATATAAAAAAATTTAATATAATTTCAGTCAGCTCTCGTCTTCATCTCGCTCGCCGTTTTGGCTAGCGCCGGTTGGCACGGATATGGCCATGGTGGTTACGGCTGGGGTGGACTCAACCATAACTACCATGGATCCGTTGGCCCAGCTGGTGTTGTAACTGGCGCCGGAGCTGTGGGACCAGCTGGTTCCGTCAATGGTCACGGTGCTGTTGGACCTTCGGGTGTCGTCAATGGACACGGCGCTGTAGGACCGACCGGACCAAACGGGCATGGGGCCTGGGGTGCTTGGGACGGTGCCTGGGGTGGAGCCGGAGCCGGAGCTTGGGGTGCCCATGGTTGGGGTGCTCACGGATGGGGACATCACGGACATTGGTAAACGGATTCGATATCAACTCCTTCTAAGACTTGGAAAAATGTGTTCAATAATTTTATGCAATGTTTTTGCAAAAACCAAAAATAAATGTATGTTCTCAGTTAACACAACTTTTACTTCTTTATCCTGAATCCTCGAAATTCCTTAGAATGCGGTTTCTTGTAATGGAAACCTTGTGGTCGAAGGCCATTTAGAAAAACCTCGTAACAAATACACATACCAAGAGAAAATTAAACCATATTCAAATTTGTTTCCACATTTAGATCAAAAACGATTTTCTTATAATATTAATATTTATTGCAAATACATAAATCTTTCCGCATGAGATTTTCTTATTTCATATAGTACTACATTATTTTCAATCCAAGTTATTTCGAGAAATAGCAAATATAATAATGATAGTTAATGAAATGTTAAGAATTATTGTATATAACCGTTGGATTCTTATATTTTAACAAAATCTTAATATTTAAGACATAGATAAGAATAACATAATTCTACTCCAATATTATTTATTTCGATCATACATATTTCATCTTTAAACCATAAGAAAGTTAGTATTTAGAATTATTGTTACACATTAAAGTATGTATTTTTAAAGTATGTATGATTTTTCACTATAACCGATAAATTAAGTAAATATTTCATCCAAAACTATTCCCGTTTTATTTATCTAATAACAATATTATTTTATTCTCATAGAAAATTTGATATGTTTAATTTAATGTAATATTTGTTATATTATATGCAAAACAATATTATTTCCAGTAATTTATTACAATAAATTATATTTTTTAGTTCAAAATACAAAGAAATAAACTTACGTGTACGATTCTTGAAGTATTCCTTTTATGTTGATTATGATAATAACACTATTTTATAACATATTCCAGAAAGACAAGAGGCACTTAACATTATATCACTTTTTATGTAAACTAAAAACTTGGATAAAAATAACAATCTTAAACTGATGAATCAAGTAAACTTATACGTTGATTAAAAACCAACAACCAACCAATATATGTTAACACACACTAAATAATAAATTATTATTTACTATTTTTTACCAAAGGACTAATGACCAAAGTCGTTCTTAATTACAAATAAATAGATAGATCTTACGTTTTAAAATTATATTTTATTAATGGTACTCATTGTACATGATATTACAAATGTATACATACAGACATAGAGTTGTAATAAAAAGCATGGCATTTTTCGTCTTAGAAAGTTGACTTGAAATATTAACTTATAATTAACAAACTATAAATAACGCTAAAAATACTACACGCATGAATCGAACTTCTGGTAAATATATAAATAATAATAAAAAATAGTATGATTAGAATGATTAGAATTTCACGCTGATACAGCATAAAAAAAAAGAAAATTTTAATTGTATAGTATTTTTAGTATTAATAAGATAATTTGTTCTGACTGGATATTCTATAATTACCATCCATGTTCACCAACGGACACAATATGGCCAAGACCGCCAAGCCCCAAGAGACCACTGGCAATAGCAGGTTGCTGAACAACGACTCCAGCAGATGGTCCAATGATTTCAGTTGGTCCCACGACCGGACCTTTGATAACAACGCCTGGTGCTGCTGGTCCAACCACACCAATTGGTCCCAATCCTAATCCAACTGGTCCAACGATACCGACACCAGCGCCGATACCAACTCCAGCGCCAATACCTCCAAGAACAGCTGGTCCAACACCCAATGGACCGATTCCAATAACTCCATGACCATTTGGTCCTGTTGGTCCCACGGCACCAGCTCCAGTTACGATACCAGCAGGTCCAACTGCAGCTAATCCAGTTACAGATCCTGATGGTCCTCTCGCCCCAATTCCGGTTACAATTCCACTTGGTCCAACGGATCCACCGTGATTCGGATTAATAACACCCAAAGAAATGACGGATGCGTATGTGGTGGCAATCAGAGCCATACAAACCAATACCTAAACAATTATCCATTACAAAATATTCAAATACAAATTACACTTTTAACTTACCAAAGAATTCATTTTATTATGATCTGTTTGTAGATGTGTTATCACAAAACGTTGAGCAGATTATGCCTTAGCTAATTGCATGTTAACTATTTATACTAGTACATCGGCCTTCGTTCCACCTTAAAATTTAAAATCTGGATGACATTTTTTATTCAAAAATCCAGTCTACTTCCTTTGCCGTTAAGGGCGACGCCTACTATAAATGTTTGCATCAGAATCGTACACTGTATTTTTTACAAATTCCAGACATCAACCTAGACATTCGCATCATGCAATATGTTGCAGTTCTTACGTGCATTTAGAGTATATAAATTGTAAATTCAGGAAGGTTGTTGCTCAGTATTGGATGTGTTTAGCTTCAATTCACAAGTCAGTGTTTCAAGTTAAAACTAAAAAGAAATACAAATAATTGTGTATAAAGCAATTATTCTAGTTGAATCTAAAATCAAATAGTTAATTAATCTTGTAGTTAATTTAATAAAATTTTCAAAATAAATAAAAATATTTTAATATAAAGGAACGTTATATTTATTGAGCATTAATTGCTGTAATAAAAGTGATTATTCAATTAAATGGGATTATATTTCATATTTATGAAACGTTGAATAACTCGTATGTGTACATTTATTCATATTTTTTTTTTATTAGTATATAATTATCTAGTTTTTACAGTACTTCATATTCATGATGTATTAAGTTTATAACATATATTTATTATAATATGGAGAGTAAATACGTATAAATTAAATATTTTTTAAATATGAATATAAAATAATATATTGGTCAGGGTAAGAGTATTTAATTTTTAAATAATTTTTAATAATAATAAACAAATTTAATTGTATACGAAGAAAGGCGCCTTTTCGCTTATTATTTATAATTATTTTTATTTACAGGTAACTTTTCATTATACTTTTTATAGGAAATGTATGAAAAAAAAGAATTTGTTATATGTAATGTAATTTATTTTTGCATTTATGTAAAGGTATATATTTTTAAATTAAATAATTATGTTTATATTCACTTATGTTTTATTGAACACACTTTAATATATTACAATCGTATTTACAAAAAGAGAAAAAAGGTAGAATTGTCATAAGTACGAGGCAGATATAGTCTATAGGTGTAAGAAGACTTGGAAGTTTTTTTTTTGATCAATAATAAACATAAACAAACCATATTGTAAGAAAAGAAAGAAAAGGTTGATGGCATAAATAAACTGGGAAACGGTTTATGGGTAGTTAAAGAAATATGGTTGGTTTACATTTGAGAGCAGGCAGACTTGACTTAAATCGTTTGGGACTACATCATTTACCAATGACCATGACCATGGAGACCTAATCCCAAACCGGCACCAGCCCATCCATGTCCCAAACCGTATCCATGAGCAACTGGTCCAGCTACGACAGCGTGACCAACTCCGGGTCCGACGAGGGTAGCTCCGTTACCATGGACAACGTTGGAGTGAGCTCCCCACGCACCATCATCCCAAGCTCCATCATCCCAACCACCATGTCCGGCGCCGGCACCGTCCCAAGCACCGTCCCAGGCGCCACCCCATGCTCCGGCTCCGTTGGGTCCGGTTGGTCCAACAGCTCCGTGTCCGGTGACAATTCCAGCTGGTCCTACGGCTGCGTGTCCATCGACAGATCCAGCTGGTCCGCTGGCTCCTGCACCAGTTACCACTCCGCTTGGTCCAACAGATCCATGGTAGTTGTGGTTAATACCTCCATGGCCGTAACCACCCCACGCTCCTCCATGGCCCCAACCGGAAGGTTTGGCACTGGCAAATACTGCCAAGCAGGCGAAAGTCACAACAGTCTAAAACAAGAAATATCATATCTTAATTTTTTTTTATAGTAAATATTAAGCATTTATGGTATGCAGACTATGCGTTGTTTCTAATTACTTTTACAATTGTACTTGTCAAATTTAGAAATAAACAATTTTTTTAATTCAATTTTTTAATTAAGATTTTTTTAAATGTAATTTAATAACTTTAATAAATATCATTATTAATGTGTGTATTTTATTTTTTGATTATTTTGCAACCATGTTCTTACCAAAGTGTTCATGATGGCTGGGAGATCTTGTTGAGTCCAGAAGACTTTACAATATGCCTTCGAATGATAATGCGCCTACATTTATAGTAGGACTGCGACCTTCGTATTACACGTTAAGAATGACTTCAATAATTGAGCAAATATAATAACTATCTGTATACCACTTTGAATGCGTTTTTTTTTATTTTACCACTACACTTCTATACCTTTTGTTACTTTCTCAAATATTTGTAACCCTCGCATTGTGCTTAGTAAAAACGGAATAATTATTATTACATGCGTAACTAGCCGGATTTAGCATATGTACAGTATAAAACATTTATTCCTTCAGAGAATTTTTTAAACTTTTGGTTATATTCCAAAAAAAATGTAATTTTTATAATAGTAATAAAATAAATCATTTAATATTCTTTTGAAATTCTAAAATACTAAATATAGTAATGATAGATTATAAATAAAACTTAAATTACAAGTGACTAATTTCAAACTTATTAATTTACGGAAATATTATTTTTTTCATAGAAGTTGTAATATTTTTATTTTTTTTATATAACTTTTATAGGAACAGAATAATTATTTATTATCAACTAATGTCTTTCTTCCAAACAGTAATTATTTTTAAAATTAGTATCTAAAAACAGTCTAAAGTCTTTCTGTCCAATTGTTTTTTTTTCATTGAAAAACAGTAAAACAACAGTTAACCAACAATCTACGTTATTTAAATTTAGTTGATTTTTTTTATAGTATATATACTTTATAAAGCGAGAAAAATATTTTTTTCTTGAATATACATTACGTTTTTATGTAGCTATTACACTACATCATGCGTACACGAATAACAATTAATCTAGTTGATTTTTAATGCGAACGAATAAGGAGTGGCTCGGAGAATAATTGCAGGAAGGAAGTTTGACGTATTTTCAGGGTAAACGATAAAATATTATTTAAGTATCAATCTTTACGCTTTACGTTGATTGTTACACATACGGTACAATATATAATTTTACCTAATTGCATTAATTAAATGATTCATGTATAATTACTTTTTACTTGATTTTTATCAATTTTAAGGTCGTTTAATTATATACAGCAGTGTTCTAAATTCTGCAATAGATTTGAAAATAAAATCTATAATCATATTAATATTCATATAATTATTATACAGTTTATTGTATAGATAAAAAGAGAGACAATAATTAAGATATAAGATTATTAAATATTGTTATATTGGGCAGAAGCATTTAATTTTTTTGTTTAATTATTATACTTTATGTGAATTTCAAATTTTATTATCTGTAGTTATCATTAAGTTAATTAATATTTTATCATAATTTATTACATAATGCATTTAGAAACAGAACATTTATTTATTCCAAAATTAGCTAGAAAATGATAGATTTTTACTTTTCTAATAATTATATGTTTTGTAAATTTAAATAGAATTTATGTTTTCGATTAATTGAACTAATATTAATATTTAATCTTCTTTAAATGTTAAGTTGATTAGGGTTGATGAAAAATATAAAATTTTATGTTATATATATTTTATTTGGAACACATTTTATAATATATACAAAAATTGTAGGAAGAATAATCCTGTAATACATAGCGCGTATCGTCTTGGTTGCGTTGAGCAGACTTCATGGATAAAACTAATCATTAAATACTACATAAACCTAGCATACATCACATTCGAGTTACTTAAAAAGTAAATGAAACAGAAATAAATAGAATCAGTGGAGAAATTGAACTAAATATCATACTGATACAGCACGTTAAAATAAAGGGAGAGCAACAAAACAAATAAGAAAAAAAATAGAAAATGAAAGTTTGTTACAGCAATTCGTCTGTACCTATATGTCTAGGCTATGCTGTCTATAGAAGTTTAATAATGATGGTGAAGTCCATGAACACCGTGACCGACTCCGTAAAGTCCATCAGCTACAATGTGTCCGGCTGGACCAACGATGGTAGCTGGAACGGTGTGTGGGCCTTGGACGATGACTCCGGCATGGGCGGCATGTCCGATGACACCGGCGTGTCCCAAACCGTATCCCAATCCCAAACCATGTCCCAATCCCAAACCATGTCCCAATCCTAATCCATGTCCCAATCCTAATCCGTGTCCCAATCCCAAACCGACTGCTGGTCCAGCGACGACGGCGTGTCCAAGTCCCAAATGACCAACTCCAAGTCCCAAATGACCGACACCAAGTCCCAAATGTCCGTTAGGTCCAGTTGGTCCTACAGCTCCATGTCCAGTAACGATTCCAGCTGGGCCAATGGCGGCGTGTCCATCGACAGATCCAGCTGGTCCCACAGCTCCGGCACCAGTGACAACACCGGCTGGTCCCACTGATCCATGGTAGTTATGGTTAATAAGACCATGATCATGGATACCAGAAGCGCTGGCAATGACGACCACACAGGCGAAAGCTACGACGGACTGCAAGAAGGAAAGTTTAAAAAAATTATATTAATTATTACAAATTCTTTTATAATCATCAACTACGCAATTCTTACCAAAGCGTTCATGTTGATAATTATTGTATGCTCTTAGTACTGAAGACTTGGAACTGAATATGACATTGTATGTTCCATATTTCTTATATATACCAAGCGCACGACCTTCGTTCCCCCTTAAAATATATGCACGGAACTAAGATCTTTTTTTTGTTTCATTTCATGAGACATAGAAGGGCGTCGCCTACCGTGCAAAATTAACATTTGCGGTTCGATTTTGGACTAACTGTTTCACATGCATGTATATAATTACTATAGCCAATGTACTCACACATATTAGAATGTGGCAGAAAAATCTTATTTTATTATGCAATTTCCTACAATGATTGCTGATTATATTTTTAATATTTTGTGGCTTCCAAATCTATTTAAATGCTATTATTATTTTCTATCAATAAAATAGAATTCTATAATTCATCCATATAATCATTAATTATATTAACTTAACAATAGTTTACTATTTTTTAAAAATACTATACATGATGCAATACAAAAATCTGTTGCTGATTATAATTTATACATTGATTTCATCAGATTTTTTTTTTCATATTTACTCCAAATTAATATAATTAAAATATCATCATTAATACTGATATTCAATATTTAAAAAGCAAATACAAAATGTGTTTAAAATAATTATTGATATCAATTATAGAAGAAAAAAAACAACAGATAATATTAGTGTACTAAATTCTTTATTTATTAATCTAAAATTTAGATATGATGCAATACGTTATTGTTTATTAAATAATAATTTTATTATTTATTGCAACAATAAAAATACAAAATAAAATCTTAATGCAATAATAAAATAAAAAGTCAACTGCTACAAAGAGCTACATAGGTCTTTCTGACCTCATTATTTATTATACAAAACTTTTCAATTGTGCAACATTTGAAAATTTTGCTTTGTACTTTAAATTATAATATTTTAGTTTAAAAAAGTGTTAAGTATATATTTTTGGGTATATAAAGTAGTTATGTACTTTGGTATTGGAATTATTCAATTTATAAACATTTTTAATTGCTTATCATTTGGATATATATATTTTAAACCTATAATGATAATTCAAATTATATACGCGTATATATTTTGTTTAATATTATCATTTTATAGTTGTTTAATATAATATTTTAATTGAATGCAAATTAATATTTTTGATATCTTTCTATTTCTTCTATTTCTATTTAGTATTTTAATATTATGATTAATTATAAAATAAAAGAAGGATATTCAGATAAATAAATTTATTTTTAAATATTTGTCAGTTATAATTCGGAAATATTTGTCGGCATATTATGAAACTTATCGAATAATACAACACAGTCCTAGCATTCAAAAATCTCAAAATATAAATTAGTAATAATAAATAAGATACAATTTTATATGGCTAGGCCATGCGTATCATTAGATTTAGTAATGATGAAGTCCGTGAAGTCCATGAAGTCCATGCACTCCATGAAGTCCGTGAAGACCGTAAACTCCATGGAGACCAAGACCGGCAGGTCCTACAACTGGTCCCAATCCCAAACCATGTCCGAGACCAAGATGTCCAGCAACTACGCCATGTCCAAGTCCTCCCAAACCGAGTCCATGTCCAAGACCAATTCCATGTCCGTTAGGTCCGGTTGGTCCAACAGCACCGTGTCCGTTAACGACACCGGATGGTCCAACAGCACCATGTCCATCGACGGTACCAGCTGGTCCGGAAGCTCCAGCGCCGGTTACCACTCCACTTGGTCCAACAGATCCGTGGTAATTGTGGTTAATACTTCCATGACCAAGTCCTCCAAGTCCACCAAGTCCATGGCCAAGTCCAAGTCCATGATCATAAATACCGGATGGAGAAGCGCCGGCAAGAGCCAAAAGGGCGAAAGCAACTACGACCTAAAATCAATTATAATTAATTAATAAATGATTATAATAATAATTATTATTTCTTACAAATGTATTCATCTTGCAAAAAAACGGTTTATTGATCTCTTACTTGAGAAGTCAGAAACTGATATGATACAACGAACGAAATATTTACTATATATACCAATCGATCGACCTTCGTACGGTATTGAATAAATGCACTAAATCTGTATTCACATAATTCCTATTACTTTTTGTACACGTATTTTGTTACGCAATTTGCATATGCACTTTCTTTGGGTAAGATTACAATGCGTGTAAAGAGACTGTTGTGCAATTACCCTTCGCTATTGCATTGCTAAAACTGAAATTAAAATATGTTGGTTAAGGACCTCAATAATTATCTTAAATACGGTACAGTTCTCTTCATTTATAAAATTACTTGTGACACTTTGTTTATAATTTAATAAAATATGTTTTAAATTTATATTTTAAATATTACAGAAATTTTATAATTAATGACAAAGATCGTTAGCCCTTTCTCAAAAACTGTACTAGATTAAATAGAATCAGAAGATGCAAATGAAAGCTGAATAAAAGAATAACACACAAAAAAAAGCAGTATTTTCAGATTTTAGTGATTTTCTCGGAAACTATAATAGACTGAATATATTCAAACAATGTATATGAAAAGTGGATGTTTGAGGAATGTAGTGAGTATTAATTGAGCAAAATCTAAATAAGTTCTAAAAATAATACAAAAAATGTTCTATATAATTGATTGGTTTTTCTTCTTACAGTCAAGTCTCCTTTTGTGTCCTGTTTCTTACAGTACGGTATATTTTCAAAATACCCGCACTATTCATACATTGTTGTTATTTCATTCATTTCGCTGTAATTTGAAAAGCATATATTAGTGATTTTCTCGGAAACTATAATAGATTAAAAACTGGATGTTTGGGGAATGTAGTGAGTATCAATTGAGAAAAATATAAATAAATTCTAAAAATAGTACACAAAAATACATAAATCATCAATTTTTTCTTCCTACAGGCAAGCCTCCTTTTGTGTAGATAAGTCCGGTTCCTAACAGTGCGGGATATTTTCAAAATAGGAATATATTGCTTTACTTGATTTGATCGATTTTTAAGAAATATAGTCAAATTATTCATTGAAAAAAGGCATAGTGTCTTTGTCTTTGCTACTGTAATTAGTATTTATTTATTTCCTCGACATTTTTTTATAATTCATTAAAGAATTTTTCAAAGTATTAAAAGTAAAAGCTGAATGTATAGAGAATAAATAGATTTATTGTAAATTATAATTATATATATATTGATGTCTTGTAAACGTACTTTATATTTTGTGGATTTAGGAGAAATATGGAGTATGAAATATTAGAAGATATATTTTTATTTTCTTAATGTTTATTAAACACATTTTATAATATTTACAAACATGTAGAATTGCCTTAAGAAGTTTGAGCATTTTTCGTCTTAGTGGAAGTAGATAGACTCTTGGGGCTGAAGAAATAATTAAATGCAAAGTACATGTACCTAGCTATATAACATTGACAATAATAAATAGTAAGTATAAGATACTGATAGAACTAGAAGAAACTGATGAATGTTTGCGGTTATGAATATATGGCTAGGAAATGCTCAGTGGATTTAGTAATGTCCATGGAGACCGTGAAGACCAAGACCGAGATGGCCGACTGGTCCAAGTCCAAGTGGTCCCAATCCCAATCCCAAACCATGGCCGACTCCCAATCCCAAACCATGACCTAATCCTAATCCCAAGGGTCCACCGACGAGACCGTGTCCAAGTCCCAAACCTCCCAAACCGATTCCATGTCCGTTGGGTCCAGTTGGGCCGACAGCACCATGTCCGTTGACTACTCCGGATGGTCCAACAGCTCCATGACCATCGACGGTTCCAGCTGGTCCAGAGGCGCCGGCACCGGTCACAACACCGGAAGGTCCAACGGATCCGTGGTAATTGGCATTAATAAGTCCATGTCCATAAATGCCAGATGGAGAAGCGCTAGCAATAACAGCCAAGCAGGCGAAAGCAACGATGGTCTACAAAAACATAACAATAATTGTATTATAATATAATAATTTCTTAAACAAAATAATATATTGGAATATTTCGAATATTTTTCAAATTGTTTCATGTATTTAAGTAAAAAGTTACAACTCTTTTAAAACGTCTTACCAGGGAGTTCATTATTGTAATGTGTTTAGTTGTTGTGCTTCGTTAAAGCTCAGAACTGAATATACCCTAACAGAACGAACGTTATGGTATTTATACTGAATAGAACGAACGTCCTTCGTTGCCTGATAAAAATTGAGAATTGCTAAATATGAATGCGGAGAAATACAATGTGCATTAAAGTCCTTTTTTTATTTATTCAGGTAGTGCAATTTATTAGATAGATTTTATTTACATACTATAGCAATGCATTGTAATGTAATATTTTTCAATGTTGCATATGATACTTTTCAAATATTAATAATGGAAACTTTATTATATATAGTATATACCCTTTCATTTCACTTTCATCAATTCATAATTTTTATTTATGATTTTTTTTATTTTATTGAATATCTTATATTATCAAAAAAAATATAATTAGTATAAATTTATATTAAAATCTGCAGAAAATTAATAAATAATATATTCTTTATATAATGTTATTTATTATATAATATTTCATTAAAAAAATCAAGTCCAACTTACAATACTCAAAAGATCTTTTTTTTTTGATATTCTATTAATTTAAGAAATTTTAAACTTTCAGTTCAATCTTTAATTTGTTAAAGTGATTAATATACCTATATGCAAATCAAGCTTTTTTTAAATATTTTCTGAATTAAGTTCTGATAATTTCTTAATCTCTTAACATCTCTACGTTTTTGCAACATTTTTCTTAATATTGGAATCCATTAATTTTTGTTTCATTTTTTTGATCATTGATATATTATTTAATTTTAGTAACTTTTTCCTTCTTGGCTAGATGTTCTTGCTTGACAACTAATTTAAAATGATATTTTTTACATTAAGTTTTATGTATGCTCTGAAGATAATAAAATTCTTTTTATAACATTTTATTAAACAACAATTGTATATAAAACCTGTAATATGAATATTTACAAATATAATGCGACTATTGAATAGATCTTCGTTTATTTTTTAATTCTTTATTTATTTTTTATTTTTTTCAATTTAAGTATAAATTATTGACTTTACAATATTTGTTATATAAATATGGAATAGGAGATTTGATAATCAAGAAAGGTAATGGGAATTATATATAATTAAAAATGGTTGTAATTTTTAGCTATTTATTATAATATTTACAAGAGTTGTCATTAACTGAAAGCTGGATTTTTAACATTGTGTAAACTCATTTAAACCCAATTAAACAGGACACACACCTAGCAACATATATCACAACCGAAATACCTATAAGTGACGTAAAACGAAATAAATTAAGTACGGCGAGTTTACTAAAAGACGATACTGATACAGCAAACATTTAGTAAATCTTATGTGCCTATATGGCTAGGCAGTGCAGTCTAGGATTTAGTAATGATGGAGACCATGAAGTCCATGAAGACCAAGTCCGAGGTGACCAACTGGTCCGACGAGACCAACTGGTCCCAAGCCCAAACCTAATCCGTGACCGAGACCGAGAGGTCCAAGTCCAAGTCCCAAATGTCCCAAACCGATTCCATGTCCGTTGGGTCCGTTGGTCCAACAGCTCCGTGTCCGGTGACTACTCCAGCTGGTCCTACAGCAGCGTGTCCATCAACAGTTCCAGCTGGTCCAGAGGCTCCGGCACCGGTCACAACACCGGAAGGTCCAACGGACCGTGGTAATTGGCATTAATAAGTCCATGTCCATAAATGCCAGATGGAGAAGCGCTAGCAATAACAGCCAGGCAGGCGAATGCAATAACAGCCTACATATTACAAATAAAAATGAGTAATTAAAATGAAGTTAATATAAATATAAAGATCTTACCAAAGTGTTCATGATTGTGAATGATCTCTTGTGAGTTCCAAAGAGCAGTATACCCTTACATTTCATATGTTTAATATATATACTAAGTAAACGACCTTCCCTCCCTCTTTTTGAGTCGTACATGAATATTCTAAATGTATAAGAAGGGAATACTATTTTTTATTTAGATCCAGTTTTGTACCGCTTTATTCTATTTTCATTCACATATTGTTAAAATGCATAATGTTCGAAGCGTATAATGCAATAACTCGAAAGTGTTGCAATAGCAGCAGGGAAACTTTAAATTCCATCATTGCATTTTTTTGTTTAATTTTCAAAATTTACATATTTATATTAAAAAAATATATTTTTTTCAAATAAATTACAAAAATCATCAATGTATCATCATTATTTATATCTCTTTATTTTTACTGTAAACTTTCATTTATCTAAAATGTACACTTTATTAACATAAAAATATTGATTTCGGTTCCCGAATAAAAATGCTAAAAAAGCTCAATATATATTTGTAATATTATTTTTGATATTACTGTTTGCGTTACGACCAGTTGCCATAGATTTTTAAATTTGTTTGAGATTTTTAAAATTTTAATTTCTTTATTTTTTAATAATATTAAAGATTAGAAAATATTATTGTCCTAGTTAACCGTTATCAAATATGATAATTCTACTTTCCAGCAACAGCTGATAGATAAGACAATTTTATCAACAAGCTTGTATTTTTTTTAATTTCTGATCAAATTGGCAAATATTCTGTGGCTTTCATTTGAAATAAACTAAATGAATATAACTTAAGTCTTAATAAAGTAATATTTCTCTTAGACCATAATTTCTTAAAATGAATACTACATGATACAAGTCAAATACTTTACTTAACAACTTGGGACTACTACTACTACTACTACTTATATAACTACTAAAATAAAAGTTAAGTTACTTTGCAAATATCTTTTAAGATATTATTCAATTATAGGAAGATTTCCGATGGCAAATCGTTCCGCTCCATGCTTTTATATTTTTTTTTCTGTCTTGGCCAAAAACATTCAACTTATGGGTTGTGAATGAATAATAAAAGTTAAAAAAAAATTATTCAATTAAATTATTTGTTAAAAATTCTTCTAAATTACTTTATATGATATAGAAGATATTATAAAAAAAAACGTAATATTTTTTTCATTTCTATCGTTCACTTCATTAACGTTTGTAATTGATTTGCGTAAACCGCTAACCAATAGTGGAATAAGGCTTTTTGATAATCATATAAGATGAAATATTTACATTTTGATTAAAAAAAACAATTATATAATTTGTTGATGATGGATTGGTTTTAATAAGACAATTGTAATACGTTTTAAAATATATTTATTATTTTGCAACACACTTTATTATACATACAAAAACATAGAGTTATCATATAGAGCAGGGCCTTTTCGTTTTCATAATTAGAACTGACTATTTTTTTATACATAAGATTACTTGATTGTGAGATAAATTCGAAATAAATTACACTTGAAAATGAAAATTACTGCAATTTGAGTCAAGTGTCTATATAACAAATTTATGATGGCAGGATTTTATTGTTGTTTACCACAAGAGATCGCTCCTGACAATTTTTCCTACGGAACCAAGACCCAAAAGTCCATTAGATATGATTTTACCGGCTCCAGCGGGTCCACTAATGATTACTCCTCCAGCGGCTGGACCAACAACACCGACAGAACCTAAACCCAAACCGATGGGTCCCACAATACCAGGTCCAACAATACCAGGTCCTACAATACCAGGTCCTACAATACCAGGTCCTACAATACCAGGGCCTACAATACCAGGTCCTACAATTCCAGGACCAACGATACCAGCTCCAAGTAAACCTGGAGCAACTCCCAGACCGCCCAATCCGATGATTCCGTGTCCATTTGGACCAGTTGGTCCAACAGCTCCAGCACCGGTCACGATGCCAGCAGGTCCAACAGCAGCCAATCCAGTTACAGATCCAGCAGGACCTTTTGCCCCAAGTCCAGTAACAATTCCACTTGGCCCAACAGATCCGGCATAATTGGGATTAATCAATCCCAAAATACCAGACGCGGACGCAGTTGCAATACATCCGAGAATAACGAAAATCTGAAGAAACTACATTTAAAAAAGTAATTATTTAACGTAATTATCTATCTTACCGAGTTATTCATGTTTGTTTATATGTTGTATTAGATGTCTTGATCGCAAGATGTGGATGAAGATTATGCCTCAGTTGATGACAACTTGTGTATTTATACGCCAAAACGGCCTTCGTTCCACCTTAAAACTCGAAATCTGGATGAGATTTTTTCGAAATCCAGCCAGTTTCCTTGTCTGGTAGTGCATTAAGGGCGGCGCCCACAGGAAAATATTTGTGTTATGATATGTATACGATTAAAATTTTATTTTATTTGTAAAATCCGGATTTGTCTGCATGTTGTTTCAATGCTCTTAGACCAGTGGAAGAATCATGCAACATGATGCAAGTATTACATACAACATTTTCTATCTATAAATTGTTCAGATTTCAAGCTTCGCCGTTTAGTACACATACGCAGTTGCAAGTAAGCAAATATATTTATGTCTTAATTTAATATCATATGATATTTTATATACAATTATTTGACCACAGTCATTCCGCTCTACAAAATAATATTATTTTGTAGAGCGGAAAGACTATTGTCAATACACCTTTATGTGCATATATAAATTATATCAATTATTAATAATATTACTATTAATAACAAATAAGAAGCCTTTTTCCCAAAATGATATTTTCAAATACGATTTCTAGTTGACTGTTTGTGCATTTTTTTCTATTTCATTTAACAATTGTATTTATCACTGATCGTATAACATAATACAAATATCTTAAATTCCGTTTATTTTCACTAACAAAATATGGTGTAATTTTCCAAAAAGTTTTTAAAGCTTCAAATAGGAATATTTTTTCTTTAATTCTATTTGTAATATCGAAACTTTAACCGAGGTATGTATGTATATTAAAAATATTGACATATTAGTAACTTTTTTTATCTAATTTACCTTTAATCATGACAATTATTTGTTCTCATTGAACATTTTAATAATAATAAAATTTATTAATGTTAGTAATGATTTATTGTTAATTCTAAAAGTATAAATCCAAGAATTATAGTTTAAATTAAAGTAATTGATAATATCATACATTCTCGCAGTTATTGTGGAAATTTACTGAAAAATAAGATACTCCAACTACTTCTACCGAAATTGATCTAATCTAAGTTCTTGATTTATATTTTTGTTACAACAACGATAAGGCAAAATGACCAAGAGGTCAACATGAATGCATTGTTTGAAAACTGCATGATGTAACAAGTACCTATAAATAGTGCCATTCAATTAGTATAGCAAAGTCCTTTGATATTATAATAACTATAAAGTAAAATATTTTTCTGGAACGTTACACCTACATTTATCTTTTGTGCAATCTTTGTTTCGATCTCATTATATTTATTACATTACAAAATGGTTTTAATGTCAACCGTAATTACCGACTAGTCTCGGCATTTTGTAGCCGTTAGCCGTCTGACCACATTTGACAGAAACGCTCGAAATTCAACCGCGAAATAGCAAAACAATAAATACGTTTGTTCCATTATTCGCACTCATAGTTTATCCACCGACGAAAGGAAATATTTTTCGTTACGTTAATTGAATTGGGTGGGCGAAGGAACAGCCCTATCCTTGACTCCTACATTAATTAATACCATTGTTGCATTTACTGCACTCAGTCAAATACAATTACATTTATTTATATCAAAAAATAATAAACATTGAATTATGCATATCATGTCTGGTTAGAATATTTCACTCCAACATATAAAATGCAAATCAGATTTACATTATGACTAGCACAATTTGTTTTATATTACAAACTCACGTCTGCAAATCGCAGTTTCGAATACATTATTAATAACAATTCAATAATAAAATCAATATTTATTATAAATTCAATTCAATGAAAATTTCATCCGACCTCCAATTTATTGGATTCTTAGGTGTTGGGTTCAATTTCTTTATTCCTTATTCATTTTTTTCTTTACCAATAAAACAGTATTGTACGTGGTTTGGCGTTACGTAAGAAATTCGAATTATCTGCGCTTTATGTATGTATGTAGTGCAAAGGATAGAGATTTCTGTTCAATGATTAAATTGTTCACGGATCAGTAACTTCAAATGCCAAGCAAGTTTTTGAAGCTGCGTTAAAAATTGACCGGTCGGAAAAGAATCAGCTGAAACACCCAGAATTCCTGCAACCATATGAATGAACTTTATCCAACTGGATACACGAAATTTCAAACGTTGCACATTCAACCGTGCAAAACAATGCAAAACAATCATTATAACCATGATTATTCATTAAAACAATCTAAATTTAACCTATATTAACAAAACATATTTGTGTATGTATAAATATGAAATAAATTGAAACCAATTTTTACGAATATTAATACATTAAGTACATTACAGTTATTTATAAAAAAATATTCCTTGTGTTAGACCATGATTTCCCAAACTTCTACGGTTTGCGGCACCCTTAATATATTAGTCTATCTCAGGGCGAACTTTATGTTAATCTTCAATTTTCGCGCCGTCCCTGGCACACAGTTAGATCATAAGATGTTTCAGTTATGTGTTTTATATAAATTTGTGAGATTTGTTTTTAAAGCGATAATTTATTTTTTACGAATTGATAAAATGCAGTTACTAATCCATACTTTGCTTTATAAATAAACTGATTGACACTTATAATAATAATACTATTTATTTAACATATTTATTGACCACACGATCAAACGACTATCGACCGAGGCTAATTATATTAAATTCACATTTCTATATATGTAATTTTTGTATTATCGCATAATTGATATGATTATTCTAACAATATTCAAATATTGGTCTATAAGTATAAACTTAGTTTAATCATCAATAAAATATTATATTCGGTCAGAACGACTTTGGTCGATTGCCCTTTGGTTCAAATTAGTGCCAATATTTAACAAATGTTATAATATATTATAACTAGTAAGTATTAGCTAAATATTTCATGTCTTCACATTTACACATTTCATGTCTTCAAGTTTACAAAATCCAAATAAAATAGTTCGGGTGGTCAGTAGCACTTTACAACATATTTATTTTTTTTAATTTTGTAACAGTTGAAATAAACATTATTATTATTTATTAAATTATACATATTATCTTTTTTCCTTTTATTCTAATGCAATGCTTATATTTTTATGATATTTAAACTTTTTTCCTAACATTGAACTAATTATATTTGTTTTTTTAATAATTTGAGCTTAAATGTTTAGTAACTCGCTATTATAATTATTATTTACTTACAAATTTTTATTGGCATTAATTTAGACCAAATAGTTATGGAGGAAAGTCTTTCTGGCTGTTATTATTAATTGTAATTTGTATTTTTTTGTCCACAAAGAATATAGGAAATATGTATGAATGAAATGCATTTATATATTTTATAACTTATTGTTTATTGAACACATATTGATATAATATAAACATTATTTACAATATAAGTAGAATTGTCAAAAATACGAGGCAGGTTTCGTCTGTATTATGAGAAGAAATTTTCCCATAATTCGAGAACACAAACACACCATATATCACATAAAGAACACAAAGAGGAATGAACATAAATTAGGAGAAATACGTAATGGCTGATGAAGAGGATACTCAGTAAGAGAAAAAACAGAATGAAAGCTATACTGATACAGCACAAAGGAAGCCTTGAAATGGTAGTAGATGTGGATAATGGTAGTTCATGCGATTTGAAGACATTCAATGAATTTACCATTTACCGTGACCATGGCCGACCGGTCCCCAGAGACCATCAGCTACAATTTTACCGGTAGCTCCTGGACCGATGATGGTAGCTGGGACAGTTGGTGGTCCCTTAACAACAACACCATGACCACCGGCTCCACCCCATCCTGCTCCGGCACCGGCCCATCCAGCTCCAGCTCCACCGGCGTATCCTCCGTATCCACCTGCAGCTCCAACCAAGGTAGCTCCGTTACCATGAACGACGTTGCTGTATGCCCCATGACCGCCATCGTCCCAGGCTCCAGCACCAGCTCCGGCACCGGCGCCGTCCCAAGCTCCGTATCCTCCGTGTCCGTTGGGTCCAGTTGGGCCGACAGCACCATGTCCATTAACGACTCCGGATGGGCCAACAGCGCCATGACCATCGACAGTTCCAGATGGACCAGAAGCTCCTGCACCGGTTACGACGCCGCTTGGTCCAACGGATCCATGGTAGTTGTGTCCACCGCCTCCATATCCACCTCCGCCATGTCCTCCAGCAAATCCACCGTATCCTGCATACCCACCATGACCACCATAACCTGCACCGAGTCCGCCATAACCGGAAGGCTTGGCGCTAGCCAAGACAACCAAACAGGCAAAAGCTGCTAAAGTCTAAATAGAAAACAAAACAAAAATTATAATTAGCAAACAAATATTAACAAATAATATTATATTCTTCAGGGCAGAAAGACTTTATTCTATAGCTCTTATTAATTAAATTTGGATCAATAAATTATTAATTAAAAATATTAAAAAATAGTATTTGCAAATATGCAAATGCAATGAATATGCATTGATTATTAAAACAATAAATATTTTATTAGATTTGTATATTTCTTACCAAAGTATTCATATTGCTATTTTGGAGATCTTTGCTCTTTAATGTTTTGAGGCTTGAGTCGGTATGCTTTGGTACACTGATAACCGAAGTATATATAGGATAAATTCGACCTTCGAGCACCCATAATATCGTTGTTCTTTCGAAAATAAGAGCGCAGCGGTGCAGGTCGACCTCACCTCCCATTTTCTCCCTGATTTTTACGCTGAATTTTTATCTAAATTCAATTCCAATATTCGCTTGCAAACGAACCGACGAGTATCACTCCGCATTATACTTAGAGCTAATCTCACCGCTAATTGCTACTCGAGCTTTATTAAAATTACTATATACACATGAATATCATTAATATTTATCAAGTTTTATTTATATCGCTGGACTTGAATCGAGTAATTATGCATGCATTTACTATTAAACTAGTATATTCTAATGAATTTCTTTCTCCATTGACAGATAATGAAATTAATTAGTACAAATCAATTCAAACTTCAGAATTAAATTGAATTTCATTAAAATAATTTTTACATCAATATTTCTATACATTCAAACATTCAATAAAATTGCTGATTTATACATATAATTAGAATTTATTAGCCAAAATAAACAAAAATAAAATATGAACCGTGAAAAACAACTCAATATATAAAGAAAAATAAAAGAATTAAAGATATCTTAATAATTCTGCATACATTAGAAGAAATAAATATATTTGGCCAGTAGTCTATCAATATAGTTCTTTCCGCCAAAACCATTTTTTATTTTTCTTAATTTCATCATTATTATTAGTATCAACAAAAGATTTCTTTAAATCATATTCAATTGATTATATGATTATACAAGTCGTCAATTATAAATTACAATTATTTCATTTATTATAAATGCATTTGTAATATCACAGGATTGACTCATGTTATGACTTGCACTTTCTTCCTTTCCCAGCTATTTCAGTTATATTTCATGCATAATAAACTTAATCGATCTAATTGCATTCCTCAGAAAATCGCGCTAAATGTTAACGTCTGAATGATTCGATCTATAAATTCTTATGTGTTTAATAGGTACTAATTTTTCTTGTCTCCTTTACACCATTTAAAATAGTATATTACTTGGATAATAACGTGTTCGATATATGAGATAGTTAGTTTGTCATAACACATGCAACGCCTATTAATTTCCCATTTTTATTGCAAGCAACATTTAGCAAAGAAAAAAATAATTTTCTTATGTTACATTTGATAAACGCCAATTAAACTGCTGATATTTTTTTTATGAAATAAAATTGAAAATATGTGTATCTAATTACTGGATTGTATTATATTACAAATTCAGAATATAATTACACAAAAACACACCTTTGTGTTTTATGATAAATATTTGTGCAATATAAGCGCATTTTCAATTGCATAAGATTTAATCAATGGATGCTCGGAACAATAAAGTAGTGATTTGAAATAGAAAACTACTCGAGTAAGTAGCACTAAGGTTAATAATGTTATTGATTAAATCTCTGGATAAAGAACGGAGTTCTTATTAATTTTTTTCTGCAATTTGCATTTCCCACCGGTAATTTTCCGTCACAATTAAAATAGAACACGTAATTGAAAGTAATAAATAAAGTTGCATTAAAATCCATTCGTGATAACAAAGAATGCGAATTGGAGGACAAGAAAAGGCGTGCACCTCCGTTACTCCACGTTAGAACCAATTAATCTCCGCTCCCAAATGATTCGTTTTTTTTTTCTTTTATTTTGTTTCATTTTGCAAAACTTCGTTTCCTTGATTCCGTTGCATTAGACTCAATCAGCTCGGATGATTCAGCTTGATCTACTTATGCGAATTTGATGCGATCTTTGTTCGGTTCGTTCCTCAAATTGTCTTTTCAAGGGCGAAGCTATCCGAGCAAATCGATCTCGATTTCGCAACACGGAACTTTCTTGCAGTTATTTTCGTGCCAAAACCGTGACAATCGTAAATAAATATTTATATGCATGTATTATTATGATTTAACAGCAATTTCGTTGGGATTTTTTTGTATGTAACCAAATGCGGTTTGGAAATCGTGATGTGGGGGTCTTTCTCTATTCTCGAAATGTGTATCAGTTCTGAAAATTATTGTTGCAGATTTATAAAGTTTATACAGCCATTTTGCGCAATCCACGTATTATAATGTGAAACATATTAAATGGTGCGGCGAGCTGAGATCGTGCTCGGCCACAGCCCGATGTAATTACTCTCTTTTCCTGTTTTATTATCATTTATGTGCTTTCCCTCCAATGTGCGGATTAATTTAGTGATCCGAACGGAATTCGCTCGGTTTGCGATTTAGCCGAATGAAAAACTATTTATAGAAGCCTTTGGAAATGTTAATGAAATGCATGCTGGTCTCTTACGTTAGAAACATGCATTCGTTTTCATGTCTCACTTATTATAACCGTGTACATTTTATCTATAAGGAAATTGGTCGATTTTTACTCTTTTGCAAATAATGTCATTGCCAGTGTGTACTGCATACATTATTATATCATAATGTATCAGTAATATGTACCTTATTGACAGTTATTTACAGCGCACTAAATACCCTACAATCCATTTTATGTACATATTAAACATGATAGCTTTCGAAATTATTATATAAATACAAAATTTAATGACATTTCAATAAAAGCCATAACACAAATAGAAGAATTAAAAAAATATATTGAAATAAAATATTTTATTTGGTTTATTTACAGAATCTTTTATTCAAAATTATTATTAAATTTATTAAAAGAAATTTTGTACATTATAAAAATTTGTAAAAATAAAAATTCTACTTTGCCAAAATATACATAATTTAATGAATGAACAAATATTGTAAAAACATTTTCTACGATATATGAAAGATTAAGTAACGCAAAATTTTAATGTTTACACAAAAAGAGGAAAACGTGATCAAATGGCCGTTGAATCTTTTCACCTTTTAATTTCTGAAATATTTACGATGATATGAAAAATATCTACTACCCTCAAATCATGTTCAATATATAACAATAAACGATTCAATAACATAAAATTTGTTTACCAAAAAAATAAATTGGAAATTACAAAAATCTTCAATTATATCGATTTAATAGATGAGAAATATTTACTTGAAACGAAACAATAATAAATGGTTGCATTTTTAGTTATGATTTATTTAATAATTTGATATATTAATCCAACAGTATTTTTTTTGTAAATGATCCCAGTATAGATATTATTAGTAAAAAAAAGTGTTCAATTCAAATTACTTTACCTAAAGTGTTCGTCATGTCACAAAATGTAGAAAATTAAACTATTATGTATGTTCCTATATGTTCAAATTCTTACTAGTAATTAGATGTTACAACATTTGTATTTATTTATGTTGCTTGAATAATGTATGTGTATATGTTATATTTGGATAAAATATATTTATTAAGTCAACATGTACAAGGAACAGGAAGCTTTTGGATACTTTGTATAGATACTAATATTTTGCTAAGTCAATAACTGATAAATATTAATTTATTAGGGTTTTTTAAACGACGAATAATCAGAATGAGAAATTTATATAAAAATTACTTACGTTTTGTAAAATTTCTCAGTAAGAATTAGTTCCTGAATTAGTTGCGTCGAGATTACAATTGTGACTGTTTCACATATTAATAAAAAGTGATATTATAAGCGTCAACAAAAGGGTGTGTGATTAGAGCAATGCCTGTACATGTGTTACAGATTTTTGCAAACGGCCGCAGACCACGTGCCCACGCCTCATGACATATTATGCGCGTATTCCGGATGCGAAGGAGAAATAGTAACGCAATTATCCGCATTTTTGTCATTCGCAGTTGTATAAATTAGATTGGAAATTGTTTAATGACATATACCGCAATTCGCAAATATAGACAATTGTGTAACCAGACAACTGAATAAATTAAGATGGGGAAAAAAGGCGATACGAAACAATCATAGGCGGTATTAATAAATATGCATTTTATTAGTTCGTTACGTGGTGCATTCATTAGTAATCGAAATGATAATTTTCATATAAGTTTAAAAATATTTTCCTTGCCGGAACCGTCGCCTTCAACTTAGCACAAAGCAAGAAAACACCGGAAATCTTTCTATGTAAGGAGTAGATTTCTTCGGGCGGCGGACAAAGACGATGAGCCAACATAGTCGGAACCAACTGTTGGAGTCTCTCCGTTGTGTTTTGACACGAGAAGTCAAATTCTTCATTTTTACGAAAAACTTCGCCAAGTATCATCACCGCATCCACATGTGCTTCTTCCATAATCTATAATCAATATATATTTTATCATTCCAAACATATTGTAGATAAATTTTACTAACTTTGCTTTCATATCCAGTGAAAAATCCAAGTTCCCTAGAGTAAGTCAAAATCGTGTTGCGATCGCCTTCAGAGGCGGCTTTAATAATCCTCACGTAATGATCGGTGAATTTTTTAGTATAAGCCCTGCTCGCTCCAAAATCCAACAGCAGAACCTAAAATTATTTAAAATTACTATACTATTAATGTATTTGTTCATTTTGAACTACCTTTTTAGTTTTTGGGTTGTAAAAGAAGTTGGCCCAATTCGGATCAGTTTGCATATACTGAAATTCCATCACCTCCCTTAGAACCAATTCCAAGACTTTAGCACCAATAAATTTCCGATCAGCCAATGGTAAATCTATACACTGATCAACTGGTAAGCCTTCAATTAATTCTGTAGTAAAAACTTGTTTCGCAGATAGCGTATCTAAAAATAAATTGCAAGTCAATAAAATAGTAAATCAAAGGTTTGATTAGAATACCTTGCACTTCTGGTACATAATAATCAGGGTATGGTTTCAATAGATCCCTAAATTTCCTAGTGCAATCAGCTTCTCTGAGATAATCAACTTCCCAGGCTAATTCACGCTTTGCAACAATAACCACATTGTCGACGAACATACCGGGGGGAAATATATTCCAGACTTTCATGATACCAATTAAGTTGTCTATATCGCTTTCAATTCCTTTCGCAACGCCGGGATATTGAATTTTCACAGCGACTTCAGTGCCGTCATGCGTTTTACCCCAATGCACTTGACCAATTGAGGCAGCAGCAAAAGGCGTTTCGTTAAATTCCGAAAACTTTTTCCTCCAATTCGCGCCCAAATCGTTCTCTAAGACTTTGACCAATTGCCAGGTCGGCATGAAATCAGCGGATTTTCGAACGCGTTCCAACGCTTTAGCCAATTCGGGATTGACAATAGAATCATCCTGTATTGAAAGTATCTGGCCAATTTTCAGAGCGGCTCCACGAACTTTACACAGAGTATCCACGATCCTCTCCATATTTGCCTTGTTCATGAAAATATTGCTATCGTCTTCTTTTAAACCCAGAGTTCGTTTCGTGTACTCGGCCAAAGTTCCGATACCCAAGCCTGCGGCTAAATTACCGAATGACATCATTCTGCCTATTCGAGTAGATGGAACAGTTCTTTGCTTAGCCGATGAGCTCAACTGAAATAAATTAAATTAGATTATTGTTGAATTTCCATCATTCAATATTCACAGATTGTTGCGACTTTGGATTGGGAACCGCCACAATTTCATCTTTGTTCTTCTTCAATTCATCCTCTAACACAATATTCTTCTTATTGAATTCCCTTGCCATCTTTTCTCTATGCTCGCGATCCAATTTCTTTAAAAGTTCTTTATCGCTATCAGTTAAATGAATTTTAAACGGATTTGGTGTCTCTCTCGAATCTTTGCTACTTGATGTAGGTGGCGGAGATTTATTTGACGGTGGTGGCGGATGACTTGATGGTGGCGGTGGATGACTTGATGGTGGTGGTTTTGTCTGATTATCTGCGGAAGATTTGTGATAAACATGTCGTTTACATCTATAAACATAGTCAATATTAATTGAAAAGTTACCTTTTGTATTAGAACCTTCGTTAGGTTTGTATCTAGCAAATTGGCTGACGCCGGTGAAAACAGTGGAGAGTCGCCCAGTGCCATCGTTAATAATTTTAAGTAGCTCGTTAATGTTTGTTATGTTTTCGTCTGGTTTTAATTTCTGAGGTAATTCCTGGCATGCAGATTTAAAACTTGAATTCTTCCAAATTACTTTCAGCTCCGACTCGTTCAATTTAAGACCCGCCTCCGCTATGCTTTGTAAGCTCTTTAGTATTGCTAAAATGTCTTGGCCACGAGACATTTTTCATTTATTCTGGTAAAGAAAAGCATTAACATATATAATTTCATTTAAAAACATGCTTCTATATAATCATAACATTACTGTCAGTGAAAACAAAGTTTTCTCACTTTTGAATGGTAACTTCAATCAAATAATATATTTCAAAATTATAATATTATAGTCATTAAAAAATATCAAAACTAGTTTTGTTTGTTTTAATCAAATAGTTAATATTATTGATAAATAAAGAGTCTATATAAGTATTTTCAACAAACATATATTTTCATTTTTTCTGAATCCATCCCTGTACTTTAAGGTTGCATCAGATTGCATTTGGATAAATTAACAATTACTTAAGAATCACTTTGCCTTTAGTCAAAACATCATAATAACAAGTGAATCAAATATTATACTAACCAAAACCACAATTTTAATAACTATTATTATGTTAATTAAATAATCACGATAAAAGCTTTAATATGTAATTAATATTTACACTTTAAGGAATCATTTCAAACATACCTATTAAATGAGTATACTAAAATACCAATTTTATACAAGAAATGTATCACATCTGTTTTGTACTTTGTTCATATATTTTTATGGCTTGGAGGTTAACTTGCACATTATTACCTCACTGTATGTGGAGAAACTGATTCATTTTTGTTTGGATTATGTAACAACAACGTATAAATTTAGAGAAAGAATAAGCTTCCAAAATGTAAATATTAGAAGAAATGCTAATAAAATCCATCTGTGAAATAAAGCATATTAAAATATTAATATTTCTTGTCTATAATGTACTACTATATAATATTAAGAATTTACCAATGGAGTATTTGGAACTTTAATTATTTTACTAATTTACTGATGCAACAATGCAGTTAAATAGCTATAATAGATATACATCTTGTTGATTGTTGTTAAAAAATATATATATTTAAATATAAATTATGATTACTAAATAATTTGTTTATTTTGTTAGAGTAAACGTCTAAATACTAAATATTTATAATATTAATAAACGATTTGTGATATATCCTGTCAAATAAAAATCAATAAATGTATAAGAAGTTGCAGATCTGCAATAGTATCAGCTGTTTCTTCAATGCTGCAGTCTGTAGTGATTTTTTACCATGGTAGCTTGTAATATGGGATTACCAGATAATCCAGAAATGGAGCCTCACTTAATTTCCAATAACGAATTAACGATGCCAGTGGATTCAGATAATGAAGAAGAAGTGAACAGCTATGAAGGATATGAAAGACTACCCATGGAACAAACCAATGTTGAAAGTAGTGATGATGAAGATGAAGACAATGATGAAGATGGATCAAACACTGAATCTAATTGTAATCTTCCTTCAATTACTCCAGTTGAAAACAATTTAGTGAAAGAAGTTTGGGATGGGCCCTCTGTTACAGAGATAGAATTGGACAAGGAAAAAGTCGATCAAGTTAAAGCTGCACTTGAGAATTTTACATTACCTGCTTCAAGTATTCCAGATTGGGCAAATAAAATACCAGAAGACCAATGGAAGAATGAGATATTAAACAGATTAAGGAAAAATTAGAACTTTATTATATTACAAACATTATATTTTTTGTCTTAGGCTTTTATATATTAATGAGAATACTTTTTAAGTTATAGGACCATATTAGTAAAATGCTCTATTGTATTTTGTATGCTTAAAATAAAGGATATTTATTATTGTTTTGCAGTAATTTCTAATCATTATTAATTATTTCACTTAATTATTTACAGTATTGTTTCCAAACAATTGTTTTCTGTTGCAAATTATATTTGAGATTACTTTAATCACATATTTTTTTCTTTGTATTTTTCAATATCCCAAATATATTTATTGTTAATCTGCAATAAATTAATGTTTTGCGAAAAATACACAATTTGTGTTTTTCTGTTTATCCAACTTCACTTCAGTTTCCAGTTTATATTTTCCTAACCTAAAACTCAATTGACATGTTTCTACTGGTTATTAGGTGGAAGTGATTTTGGTGGTTTTATGTGATTTGTTAATTTTTGTTTGCAATAAAGCGTAAAAATGTCCGAAGACGAAATGGAAAAGTTTGAAATTACTGATTATGATTTAGACAATGAATTTAATATGTTCAGAAAACGGAAAGGGAATAGTAAACACCAACAAATATATGGTTAGTATGTTAAACAAAAAATCAATCTTAATTCAAAATATTGTATACAGCATATTAAGTGTTTAATCAATTCAAATCAACTTTTAGGAATATGGGCAGATGATAGTGAAGATGAGGATGATGGAAAATCAAAAACATATAAAAATAATAAAAAGGGACCTAAAAATTATACAGCCCCTATTGGCTTTGTAGCTGGAGGTGTCCAGCAAGCTGGCAAGAAGAAAGAGTTAAAGTCTGAAAATGTTAAAAGTGATGAGTCAGATGAAGAGAAACCCACTACATCATTTAAGAGAAATTCCAGTGACTCAGAAGATGAAACTGTTACAAGACGTGGTTTTGGGTCATCATCATCAAAAGCACCAGTTCAATCAACAGTAACTGATGTAACAGGAGATATAGCAGGTATGAGGAGTGCAAGAAGATATCCTCAAAATGCAAATTTGATCAATAAAGGAGTAGGAGGTTGGGAAAAACATACAAAGGGTATAGGAGCAAAGCTTCTGCTTCAAATGGGATTTCAGCCTGGAAAAGGTTTAGGAAAAGATTTGCAAGGAATATCTGCACCTGTTGAAGCACATCTAAGAAAAGGTAGAGGTGCTATTGGGGCTTATGGTCCAGAGAAGCCAGCATCTATACCAAAGTTGAAGGTAGGATTTCTATAATGTTGTAAGGTTTATTTCAAACATTGTTTTCTAGGAGGAGATAAAACGTGAAGTTGATAATGGAGACAAGAAGTGGAAGAAGGAAGATGGTGTAAATAAGAATAAAACTAGATATTATTATAGAAGTGTTGATGATGTGATTGAACAAGACAAGAAGCATGGAGTATTTAGGAATTTGGGAAATTCAAGGTATTAAGTCTTACAGTAAATAGTATCATCGATTCTAATATTCATACTTTCAGTGAACTATCAAAGGTCAAAGTAATTGATATGACTGGACCTCAGCAAAGAGTTCTCAGTGGTTATCATGCATTAAGTGGTTTAAAAGCTCCACCTGGGGTTGAGCATTATGAAGATGTTTTACACAAGAAATGTTCCAACTTTTCTTTGCCAGAATTACAACACAATTTGGATGTTTTAGTTGAAATGCATGAACAGGTATTTTAATTTATAGATTTAAAAAATATATTGTTCTAAAATTGTAATTTTTTCTTTAGGAAATCATAAAAAATGATAGAGACGCGAGGTACAGTCATGATCGAATTGTAGCGTTGGAGCAAGAAGAAGCACAATTGAAGAATGTAATACTTCAAGAGGATAAAGATGTCAAAAAGTTAAAGTCTATTTTGGATGTTGTAACTGAATTGGTTGATCCATCTTCTGGGCTTTCTTTGGGACAAGTTGCTAAAAACTTTAAAGCTCTTCAGGTTTGTTCATATTATTTGCAACTTGATAAAGTCAACATAATATTACTGGTTATTTTAGAGTGAACATTACGATGAATATTGCCAGTATGAACTAGGCGAATTAGCACCAGGTCTTGTTGGACCTCTGTTAACATCAGCTATGGCTAGTTGGTCTCCTTTGAATCAACCCAATCTTTATATAGATGTATTCGGCCAATGGAAGGACTTACTGAGCACTCAACGTGGGACTATAGAAGGTAATAGTATGGGAATACTGCCGTATGATAGTCTCTTATGGCACACTTGGGTGCCTGTAATGAGAACTTGTGTTAGGTAAGTTCGCACCTTTTAGTTAGGTACTCCTTCAAAATAAATTATTTAAATAATCCGATAAAGAAAAACAATAACATTTTATGGATTAGATATATGTTAAATTTAATAGATTGGTAACGTTATAATTATAATTACTACAAATCCCAAGTGTGCATTATCAATATCTTATTAAATGTTATTTGCTACTTTAAAAATTAATTAAGAAATGGACATTTATTCTCTTTTTTAATAGTATTTTATACATACTAATTAATCATAATAATTCAAATAAAATTCTTAAGCATCACTTAAAGGTGACAAAAAAAACATATAGATTTGTAAATTCTGCTATTCATTTTATTTTCTACATTTTCTAGTGCATGGTCTCCAAGGGATTCGGATTCGCTGATAACTGTCATGGAAACCTGGTTACCTCTATTACCTCCCTGGATATTAAATAATCTTTACGACCAACTTATTATACCTCGTTTAGTACAAGAAGTCTCCAGTTGGGATCCACTTACAGATACAATTCCAGTACATACATGGGTTCATCCGTGGATTCCGTTATTAGGTAATCTTATTTAATCATCATTTCTTGCGCAAATAGATTGTTTACTTATTTGTTTGCAGATAAACGTTTGGAAGTTCACATTTATCCAATTATTCAAGAAAAATTGGGAACAGCTTTAGCAAGCTGGCATCCATCGGACGGGTCAGCCAAGTTTATATTAAGACCATGGCAGCGGGTTCTACCAGAAGGTTCATTTGTTACCTTCCTCGTGAAACACATTGTTCCCAAATTGCAGTTATGTATGCAAAGTTTGGCTATAAATCCTCATCAGCAACATTTAGGTAGGGGAGATGGTATTTTAACATTCCTATGCAACTCCTGTAGATTATACTTAAATTGATTCTGTTTTAGATGCGTGGAAATGGGTTATGGACTGGAACGATATGCTATCCGTTGGTAATATGACTTTAATATTAGACAAATATTTCTTTCCGAGGTGGTTGCAAACACTCGCTATGTGGCTTAACCATAATCCGGACTACACTCAGGTCACAGAATGGTACACTGGATGGAAAAGGATGATATCCGATAATCTTTTGGCCCAACCAACAATAAAAGGTAAGTTACATGACATATATATTTAATAATTTTGCAATTTATTATTTTATATTTTGTTTAGAAAACTTTCACAAAGCACTAGAGTTGATGAATCGTGCTGCTAGCTCAGGGCAACAACCGGGCGCCAAAGAATCAGTCTCTTACTTGACAAATATCGAAACAAATGTACCTCCGCCTCCTCCACCAAGAATCGATGTAAGTTTTAAAATATCTTTATTTTTTGAACTATCAACTATATATAATATACAATTGCAGACATTTCAAGAAGCAGTGCGTTCAGCATCTTGCATTCCGCAAGGTTACAAAGATCTTATTGCGAAGAGGTGCGAAGAACGAGGAATTCTCTTTGTACCTATTCCTAATAAATACCATGAAGCAAAGCAAGTCTACCGCCTTGGTTCGAACGGAACCCAATGTTACATCGACAGGAATGTTGTATTTTATACTAGGGATAATTCTAATTGGCTTCCAACGTCACTAACTAGATTACTAGATATGGCATAAGAATAACTTATTTATTGTAAATATTTTATCATTAAACAATTTTCATTTGACTTTTGTCTTTCAATCATTAAATCTATGAAAAATTAAAATAAGGTTGGAGGCGCCGGGCATCGATCCCGGTACCTCTCGCATGCTAAGCGAGCGCTCTACCATCTGAGCTACGCCCCCTCTTATTAAATTTACAAATTAATAGTATAAGCATACTTATATTTTTATTAAATAAAGCTTACTTCACAATACATAATAATTGACTAGAAACTTGTATTGATGCTACGGAAACAAGTATTTACGATAACCGTTATTGATTTAAAACATCTCATAAATAATAATTTACATTTAAAGATTTACCTGTAAAATATATGGCATTACTAATAAAGCAATTTATCACTAAACTATGTAAATATAAAATGATAAATTATTCTAATCATACAAAATCCATAGTTCATACGCTAAACTAATTACGTTACATATCCAAACGCATTTTTAATCACAAATACTGCTTACTACTAATTTAAAATATTATCTATTCTTTTATAAAATATAATAAATCTTTTTCACTTCAAATCAAATTACCTAATAAGTAATTAAATTAATTGCTGTGTCGTACTTTTTATTAAATGCTTCATTTAACAATATTGGTGATAAAATTTAACGTAATATTTTTGATTATACACTTCAACACACGTACAGTTTTAAGCAAACATTAATAAAAGCTCGATTAAAAGCAATGAAACATTAAAAAAAAATTAGTTCAAACTAATTTCAGCGCTATCTTGTTTCTCTTCGGTTTTTTCTATTTCTTGTGGCAAATCTCCAGCTCCGGCTTCTTTAACTTCTTCGGCTGCTTCATCAGAATCATCGCAAAAAATAATTTCATCAGGATCCGGAGCTCTTGGAAGAAATTCAGAATCTGGATATATTTCATCGAATATTTTTGAAGCCTAAAAAAACGATTATTATATAATTTAATAATTAATTTAATCGGAATAGCAAACCTTTTGGATGGAATTATCATAATCCAAATCAGAATCAGGGCCTGGACAAAAGAATGAATTTTTAGAATTATGTTGAGTATAATCTTTGTCATTTGTATCTGGTATAGCAAAATAGAAAGACCACAAAACATTCGGTTTAGTATCATTTGGGTCATTACTAAACAACGTGTCGACGTAATATTTGAGATCTTCTTTAGCGGATGCAGTTCTTCTTGCAGACATATGAACAATATCTGTAATTAAAGAATATTTTTTTAAGTTTCTTTTATATACTTTGAAATGCATTTTACTCACATAAATCCTTAGGACATACACCAGACCAATGACCAGCTTCTATAATGTGGCAAAGAGTTTTTCCATCTTTTGAAGGCATCAATATCAAAGAAGTCTTTTGTTTATCCGCCTCCAAAACAGACCTAAATTAAACAATTATATCATTAATTATATGAATTAATAAAAAAATATAAGCTATTACTTGTCAGTGATAAATATTCCTCTAGAAATATAAGACATCTCTTTCTTCTCAACCATTTCATTTGGTGCATATTCAAAACCAGTTACAAGGTTACTTGCTGTTATTTTTTGTTGTCCAGAAATAAGTCCTTTGAAATTGTGCTCTTCGTCATATATAAAATGGCTGAGTGGTTGATTCAACGCGTAAGTACCACCAAAAACTGCACTCAATCTAAATATTTTAAAATATTAATAAAATTATGATATGATTTGTTTATATAATATTGACCTGCAAAATGCTTGTGGAATTTCGCCACTACCGTACATGGAATATATAAACGGCGTTTGACCTATTATACCTAAACTTGCCAAAAATCTTTTAACATTCTTAACGCCATCAGAGCAAGAGGTCTCATCGTCGCTAAGTGCAATTGAATAGACGATGTAATGAATTAATTCAGGTGAAAGTTTACGATCTTGTAAATATTCTTTAAATGTTTTGCCATCATATTCTAAAATAGAAAGCATATACAATTTAGTTAACAAAATGTGGATTGGAGGCGCCGGGCATCGATCCCGGTACCTCTCGCATGCTAAGCGAGCGCTCTACCATCTGAGCTACGCCCCCTATATGTATTATTATTTTTTCTTATTTTGCAAATTAATCAATACTTTAACAAATCAATAATTTATAATTACCTGAAAAATCTTTGTCAGTGCTGTCCATCAAAGTAGATAATAATTTCATTAGCACTCTCTTCTCAATCACATTCACATGTGGACTAGAAAATATGTTAGATCTAGAACATGGGACTGGTATCAACTTGCCATCTAAATATGTCAAGATACGCCCAATTGCTATGTACTCTGCATATCTAGCAATGTTGGAAGAAACCAACAATTTAACAAATTCTCCTCGAGAAAATTGTACCTAAATTCATAAAATAAATTCGTTTTAAATAAATAATTGTAATTATATTACCTTAGGAGTTAAATCCAAATTAAACTTTCTGGATTGTTTCATAATGCTTTCTTGGCTCCATGGTTTAAAAACTGCAGCTGCTGAAACTTCAAGACTTGTAACATTATTTAAATGTTCCTCCTCAACAATTTGTGCTTCTTCAGCTTCAACATGAATATCATTTGTTGCATTAAATTCTTCCTTCACCTCCAGTACTGGATCAGTTTCTTTTTCAGCATTTTCCTTGGCCTCAATTACTGCTACAGCACCTTCTTGTATGTCAACATCATTATTTTTTTCAATTGCTTCTTGTACAGCAATTGCTTGAATTTCATCAACAAGACTTTCTGCATTAGCCTCTACTGCTACAGGCACTTCTTTGGTTACAGCATCAACACTTTCTGCATTGCATTCCTCGCTTACTTCAAGAGCTGCTTCAGCCACATCTTTTGTTTTCAAAAGTGAAGAATCATAATCTTTATCCTTTTCCAAGACATGCCAAGCTTGCTCAATATCTATTATTTCAAACAAATCATTTCCAATAACTAACTTCTTTTGATTTGCATCCAACTGAACATCTTCAGATCCTGCATTATGTATATTGGATTGAGGTTTACTGAAAACAGTTTCAATGTTCTCAAGATTAAATGATGCCCATAGACCACCATAATAATCTTTGCTGTCTATATGTAAAACTCTTTTCCCAATTCTGCTTGCTGCAGCAGATACAGCTGATTCAATCAGACCTAAAATACAAACAACCTTTAATGTTTAATCTTTCAAAATATAAACTGAACAAAACTTACCTGTTCCTACCACTATCAAGTCAAATTCTGTTGGCAAAGTATCCATTTCAATTATTTCTTTGTCTCAATATATTTTCATTGTAAAACAATTGTTCTGTTAACAATTACAAATATGTCAGTATTTGTTGAGGTACTCACAGAATAATCAATTTTTGACATATTTCCATGCCACAACCATACACAATTAGTCATAATATAATTTAAGATTTTCATCATAGGTGGAGCTAGTAGTTGCTCAGGTTTGCTGTGGAAAAAGACTTGTCATTTGAGTACATTTGACAGATTTTTAACAATCAATAGCAATTTTGCGGTATCTTTTGCTTTGCAAGTACATTCTCTGTTAAGTGTTAAACAAAACATTTCTAAAAATGGTAAGAATAATATATAATTAATGGAATAAAAATTTTATAAGTTAGATTCAACAAATTACGTTAAATGACAAAGCATAATTGAGGTTATGTTTTGTATACAATCCAATTGAACATTTACTATGACTATATTCTTATATGTTTACAGAGTTTCGCTTTGCCTTCATTGAAACCAAAACCTGAACATGCTACCAGCATGGGATTGCAGGAAGGTGCATATGGTGTGCCTGACTTGATGACTTGTGGTTTATCCGGAGGGGCTGCAAATTTCAGATCTGTGCACCCAATAATGCAATCAGAGAAAAACGTTTGTTTTAACAACTACTTGTTACTCTCAGACTAATTTACAATTATTTTTTTTAGTATGCACAAAGGCAAAACACATTGAATATGACTGTCTTGAGAAATACACAAGGACTTCATGCACCAATGAGATTGGCAATGGAATTGAAAGCTGCTAAGAAAATTGGTCATTTGCCGTTTTTGCCATCTCACAATGTTATGGTAGATTCATTGACTGGAAGGGATTTGGAAATTGGGCCAGAAGATGTGTTCAGCACTAGCGAATTCTGTGAAGTTATGGGCCAGCCCCATGCTATGGTTGAAAGAAGCTTGGGATTATTGTAACTGCTTATCTATTATTTATAAAGGAAACATGTTTTAAATATTCATTAAATAAAAAGTACACACTTTTCTATAAAACAAATACTTCTCTACTAACACCTACAAATTAATTATATCATTAATTCTTTTCATTGCAATCTTTTCCACTTCTTTCATACTAATTCCTACTTCATATTCTTCTTCATTATTTATCCTTTCCTTGATTGCTCTTACTATTGAGACGATTGTGTTATCCCTTGCGCAAATAACAAATGGAAAACCAAATTTTAATTTGTAACTAAAATTTAAAAACATAAAATTTTAATATATTTTTTATATCACAACATACCCATTATTCAATTGTCTTAACTCCTCCGTTTCGTCAAGAGAAATTAAATGTAGTCCAGCCGATTGCTGTTCCTTTTGTGATTCTATAGTCAAATTAACCGTATTTTCAAATTTACCTGCTAAATCGGGATGCATTTTCAATATCTCGACCTTCTCTGTAAATCCTTTGCAATAAAAAAAAAACAATTTTCAAGTAAATTACGTTACCTTTTAAACTAATATTTCTCAAGAAACTTATAATTCCATCGTAAATGTCAATAATGTTATCGAATGGTTTCTTTTTAAATATTGCAATTGCTGCTGATGGACAATGTTCAATTATATTACCAAAAAATTGTGTAAATGATGGTTCGTTTAAGCTATTCACTTCTTGAATCGTTATTTTCTTAGTGATCGACTGCATAATGTTATTGTAACTGTAGATAATCTATTTAACATTTAATTGATAACAGACTTCGATGACCTCGTATATTGGAAATATGACATCGAACGGGTCTATATCGCAATCCCGACAACCGAAAGACCGTCTAATGAAAGCCCGACATTCGAAATACCGAGTGTATCTAAATCCCGTCTACCATAATCGCGACAATCGAAATCCCGACAGTGTCTTTTATTATTATAATTTCTACAATAACATTTTTAAATTATTCTACTATATTTTAATAGGTACGACGGATACTAAATATTTTTAAGACCTAGGTCGATGGCTCTTTTGCCCGATTATTAATTGTTGTTATTTATTCTTAATAACAATAAATAATATTAATTATTATTGTATTTTTTTTTTCGTTGACTTATTCATTATAAAACTTAAGAATAATAAAATTAGTTTATATTATTAACAATAAATATCAACAATTAATAATCTTATTAAGTTTTAGATTGTCGGGATTTCGATATAGTTGGGATTTTGATTGTCGGGATTTTGACATAGTCGGGATTTCGATATAGTCGGGATTTCGAACGTAGGGATTTCGATACACTCGGGATTTCAATACACTCGGGATTTCAAACGTCGGGATTTCGGTTGTCGGGCTTGCGATTGCCACCGCATCGAACGTATTTTTTATCTATAACTATTCAATAATAGTTATCACACACAACACTACTTAATTATACTTGTACTATAACAAGAATTATATATTAATAACTAAATTTGTTTAATTTAGTAATGCAACTAGTATTAGTACATGCAAAATATGGTAATAATGAAAGGAGAAACTTATTCAAATATGATTATTTTTAATCTGATTGTTTATTTTGAAACGAATTTAGTTTAGGTAAATATTATTTATCATAATTAATAAATAAAACAATAGGATTATTTTAAAAATATTTACTTTAAAATTATGTAATAAATGTTTAAATGTATTTTAAATAAATATGATTAAATAATATTTTGCCCACAATTGCTTTGAATCTGAGGATTATAATAAAAGTTTAAATTTCGTGTATATATGCAAATAGTATAACACGTACAGTCACAACTGGTTGCATATACCTTGTATATCTCTAAATAGCTATAAATTACCCTATGGGTATGTTATCCACGTATGTATGTTATCCACGCCCCTTTGCACGCCCATCGATACGCCCATATTACAGGTGTATGAGTATGTTAATATGCGCCATTCCGCCTCAAAAAAAAATCATTGATTACACAATGACTGTTCACGGGTGAACTAGATTAGTTAGAAAATAAGATAATGAAATGAACAAATCTGATATCAGACCGCCAAAGTTAAGATACCTCTAACTAATGTAATGCAGTCATTTCATTTTCTGCGAACAATTTTATTTGATTAATTACGTGTATCTATCAACTAGCACATTTTGTTGAAGCCCTTTCTTTGTTACAACATTATTTGCAGATCTCACCGAAAATAGTGTAAACAGAAGAGTCAAGTTGTTTTCATTTCAAATTAAACCATTTTTAAAAAAAAAACTACATTTGCAAATTTACAATATTATTTGCAGATCTCACCGAGATCTCACAGTATAAACACAACAGTCGGTTTCTTTTCTTTTCAAATAAAATTGTTTTAAAAATATCTATTTTGAATATTTTAATCTATTACAACTTCTATGTTCTGGCCATTCACTTTCAATTCACGTTAAGGTAGTAGTAGTATATGAACCGTATTTTTATTTACGACTCTATAACTTGTTACAGAATCTACTTGATATATATAGACATGTGGTAAAAGAACATAAATATTAGTTACGCCTGTAAATGGTCAACCAAATACTAATTATATTATACAAAGTTTATTCATTTGGCTACATAATAACCAATGTAGCCAAATAAATAAACGTTGGTACTTTTATCATTTTTAATTGTGTTACAAACAAACAAAAATTACGTAATATGAAAAAAAAAACAAAAATTTAATAAAAAAAACTTAAACCATTCATTTTTCCAATAACATCCTATTTAAGTATTAGAGATATTATATAATTTATATACATATTTCAATATAGACCATAAATATTGTTTAACAATATACAATACTTGGCAAGTAATATGCATAAAATAAATACTATGGTAGTTATGGAGTCGCACAACATGTATAATTATCATACATAATTATATTTGTCACATAATTCAATTTATCCTTTAAGTCGTTAATTATAATGGTTAATGCTATTAGTAATGTTTTTAGGATTTTAATGACTAACATAATTATAAATCTGCTATTAATTTGTGACTTCTTGAAAAAAAAAACAATTCATAAAACTAAAAGTCAGATCATGTAGATTTTCTATAATTTAATATTATCTTCGTCTTTATCCAATAATGTTAAATCTATTACAACTTCTATGTTCTGGCAATTCACTTTTCCACTTAAAAATTATTAATATTTCACACTATGTCAACTTCCTTAAAAATCAATTTAAAAACTCTACTGCTCTACTGGACTATTTTGGTAGTCAAGACATTATTGATTTTCAAAGCACAAATAAATAATAAACTATTTTCTTTTTATTTTCTTCAAATCGAATTGTCAGTCTAGGTTTTTTTCATTCTGTGATAGTTATATGAAAATATGAAGATGATTCACTTTTCTTAACATAATCTTCTTTGAATTCACTTTTTTGAGTATTTTCGGCATGTGTTCCATTATTATCATATTTTAAATTAAAATGTTTCTTTTAACGAGTGTTTCGTGTTACAAATATGAATCTGGAAATTAAGCACGTTATGCGAGGTTCCATTGTACTTGTTTCTTTTTCTTAGATCGCATTATTTGCACTGTCTATAATGTATTTGTGTATTTATAGATTCAAAATAATATTGAGCTTAACGAGTTTGTTCCAAAATTTACGGATTTTTACTCGTATAACATAGTAAACAAAACAAACATATTAAAAAATACACATAATATGTGTACACAAGTTTTAAAAATGATGTAGCAGTCGCGCAATCCGGGAATTCTCATCGTTACTCGTTATGCGAAACGTCGCTCGTTAAGTTTTTATGATCTATTTTGCTCGTTAAGCGAGGTTCAACTGTATATATATTACGTAATTGCTTACATATCCAGTATATACATTTTGTTTTGAAGATTATTATTATTGTTAATTCATACTGCTTTTCCAACAGAAAGTTAATATTTAGCCTGAAGGTAAATATACTCTAGAACACGCTAATTTCGTACTTGTCTGGAGAGAACTCTAAATATAGTTTCAATTGTTGTTGAAAATCTTAATAAAATACATACATATATTAGCAAGTTACATATTTATTTGAGTCATTTATTAGAACTAATATTTTTTAAAGAATATTCATTTGAGCATATTTTAAATAACTAGTTTGACTCCATAAATAATTGTTATTAGCGTTACTTACTTTTACAGATAATAATAATAATATGAGAGGAAAGACCTATGGTCAATAACCGTTTAAAGTAAAAGTGTCCAAGAAATATTGGTACTAATATAAGCTATACCCTTAAAAATGAGTTACAGTGGTTTTCTAATTGAACCAAATTTTGAGTATAATTATTCAAACAGTTAAAATTAACCGTATCATATAATTAAATCTTGTAGATTTATCATTAAAATAATTAATTAGTTTGCATTAAGTAATTGGTATTATAAAATATAATTTAATCCGGTAGCGAAAATAATGAACGTATAATGTGGCAAATCGGTGCGTTAATCTTCACCCATATTTCAATGGCGCGGACAAAGTTAATCGTTTCATAATATGTTTGCAGTCAAAACATGCAGACATTAATCTCCTTAAAATTTGGCAAATTGGTCATGTTTACAAAATATTGGACACGACCGACCGTGTGTATTACTAGGGTTTTGCCTTCGGTTGGGTCAGGAGACAGCCTTTATGGCCGCGTGTTACGCACAATAGGGCGGCACCCTCCAATTCACGTGCGGCAAGTCGAACAGCTTCAGGTAAAATAGAGACGTAGCCATTTACGTCAAAGGAAATAAAATATTTTACTTGTACCACTGGACAAAAAAAAGTCGACAGTTCGGTACGTTCAAACGCAAAGCGCCGACGTAATAAACTTACTTAAAATTTAGCTAGAAAAAAAAAAGATGTTACTTGTTGTACTTGCTTTGGTGTAATTTTTCCACCGCCTGAGGCATGTGAATTTGGGGTTTTCACTCAAAGCGACGCACCTAATATTGTTCTACTTCTACGGATAACCCATTTCTACAAAACCTTTCTTGCAATTCCCAAAGATTATATGTAAATTGCAACTAGGTCATAAACCGTATTCACAGAAACATATCATTTTTGCATTTGTTAAATTTTCAAATAAAACATCTACTTCAAATGCAAGTTCCTTGAATAAGCCACTTCCATAAGCCTTTGAATAAACCATATTTATATGGATTATAACAAAAAGTCCTATGGTTTTATTTTTTTTAACATTTTGGCGTAAATTGTGCAAAAGAAAATTGTATATAATAATAAACATAATTTATTTCATATGTGCATACGAAAAGCTAAATTATTCCAATCTGTTTCTTATTATAATATAACTATTTCGACAATAATTATTATACCTTCCGTAAATTTTATTATTTTATTTATATGAATATATCGAACACTATAAGTTTACTTTATAATAGTAATAATATTTATTGCAACGATAAAAATAAAAAGCTGCAAAGGGTTTACTTTATATTTTATAACAATCATAAAGGCAGTAGCTAAACACATAAGTACCAAATATATATATAATTTGATTTATGTTACTTAAATATCACATTGAAATTACTGAATTATCCCTAAATATTAGAAAAAATTAAAGACGTAAATGTGTTATTTACCATTGATTAATTAAATTTACATACATCACAGAAACAGCATTTCACATTCAATTCAATACATCATATATTTATGCATGAACTTGAGTGTAAAATGATAAA